CCAGCAATGGTTTTATTAACTTTGTGGAACACATAAGGGGCACAATTTACCCTAAACGGTATTGTATTGGACGAGCTGTCCCTTGGATATGAATCTGAAATATATTCTATGACTCTCCTCTAATGGGTATCAAAATCTCTGCATATTCTAAACCCAGATTCGTTAAAAAGTATTTCCACGGAGAAGTCTGATCCCAGTTCAATAGCCTTCTCCCTATCTATCAGACTTGGGGGCAAGAAAACGTTGGATAGGGCGCTGATTTTTAGTTAGCTTAACTTTTTTACTGATAGCACCAGCAGCTAAACAATTGAGAGACTGTTGAAGGTCGGTAGTTTATAGATGGACTAATGAGATTCAGCTATGGAAAGAGTGGCTGGGAATATGTGAATGGCAAGTGGCCACTCGAATCCAACTCAGGACTTTAGCGCAAATCCTGCCATTGATGATGAATACGGGTCAATCTCCCTGCTGATCTACGTACCTCATCTGCATAATCGGTAATGGCTGATTATTGTTGCTGCTCATACGAGTATTTATCTGATGTATATTAGAATTGACTTACTAGGTCAGGCCTACACCGAAAGAGCAACGTTATCATTGGAAGCCTCTGTTAGAGTACTCCCTGAGTTCTTTGCTTAAATATCTGCCAGCATGCGCCTATCCCCCTTCTTTGAACCTAGAGGGAGAGAGGATTGCTATTTGCAGTTAATGAACAACTCACATGTGGCTGTACAGGGACCAAGCGCGCATCCCTCAGTGCGACAATTTCTATTATAGCCGCTACCTCAGGGTTCACCCTGGGTGGCTAGAATGGAACAGATTTTATTCATCTGCCGTCATCAACAAGACCTGCCCTCGAAATGCCTTGGATCAATGCGCAAACATTAATTATACTAATGTCGCCGCACCATCGTGGTGATGCGTCATCTATTGAAACAGAATACATGACCTTTAAGGCATCACAATCCAGAGCGCCCTGCTGTTCGAGTGCTACCTATGCAAAATGTAACGCTAATCGGGCATAATGATACTTGACATATGCTATCACAGCAACATGTAACGCTAGTCTCGCATAGATGAAATCCAATATCTATCTTTTATTAACGAAAAATGGTACTTTAGCCAGTTTACTAAACTGCCATGCGCATTCTGACATCACGTTCCAAGGTTATCACAAACCAGACGAATTTTCTATCACAGGCAAAATGTAAGGCTAAACTCGCATAAGGTGCTATTCTCTATCTGGTAATAAGAAAAAAATATACTTTGGCGGTTTCCTAACCTGACATGTTCATAATTACATACCTCTTACATGGTTATCACAACCCGATGGAATTTGCTATCACAAGCAAAATGTAACGCTATTCTCACATAAATGGACCCAATTTTTATCTGTTATTAATGAAAATTGCTGTATTGCTACATTGCTACCACAAACTAGATGGAATTGGCTACCACAAATAAGATGTTACGCTAGTCTCGCAGTGATGAAACCTAATCTGCATCTGTTATTAATGGAAAATGGTACTTCGGCGGTCTCCTGAACTGTCATGTGATTCTACAATGCTGTTCCAAGCTTATTACAAACCATACTTTGTTGCTATGTTGCCCCAAATGCTTTCAGTGTTGTAATTTGTCGTAGGATCTTAGCCATCACAAGCTAAGTACAAGTTACCATCACAAGCAACGGAGGTCAGTGTTGAGTCGTTATCTCAAACATCTTCATTCGCCATGGTGTGGAGCTGACTAAGCTAGGTCCAGGTTGCTATCCTAAGCAACCCAGTCCAATGCTTCCACGTTATCCCAAACGTCTTTGTCCGTCTGTCGTGTGGAGCTTACTATCACAAGCCAGGTCCACGTTGCTATCCCAAGCAACCGAGTCCAATGTTTCAGCGTTATCCCAAACGTATTTGTTCGTCCTTGGCTATCACAAGCTAGGTGCAGGCTGCTATCCAAGTAACAGTATCAGAACGTTATCCCAAACGTCGTGTCAGGCACGGTCTGCAACGCCGATGAGGAATATATACTAACATTGACCTAACTTGCACCTAAAACAGATCGGTTTGTCGATGGTGACGCCCCTTCAGAAAAAGAGACCTACCCACACTGTCTAATTTTACTCCGCGACAAAAGGAAGCGTCCGTTTCGCGGCGTCTCGCCGACAATGCACATCTATCGGCCAACATTCGGTCCACCTGTCCAATTCCTCAAACACTGCTGAAAACCTAATAATCTGTGCGTGAACCCGATTGACATGTTAAACATTTGGCACGAGAACAAGGAATGAGATGTTATAAGCGGCAGAGAGGATGAAGTCACGATACACATACACTGAAGATAGGATGTTGCGCATGTGGGTGGCGCTTCGTGACGTCACCTTGAGAGTTGTCGGCTCATGATTACCAAAGGCAGGATTGTCGTAACGTTTACTGCAGTGTACTTGTATCGTGGTTAATACTACACAGTGCGATTTGTTGGTGATTTTTAGTGATTTTTGTGACTTGTATCAGTTATACATACTTTATATACCCTGTGAGGTTGATAAATTCATAAAAATGCGGTGTGCTGTTGTGGGATGTAATTCCGACAACCAATCTGAACGGAATCCTTGCAAAGACATGAAGTTCCACAAGACTCAAACCTTAGCAAAAAAATCTTACAAGAAGAAAAGACAAAGTCAATGTAAAAAACGGAAAATTCAGCTAAAATCCAATACCTGTTAACAAGACGTCTTAATCAAGATGTGAATAGAAAACTTTTTCGGAGTAATTAGTGCAAAAGAATGGTCTTCACGACCATCCAAGTCCACTAGAGTTTAAGTATAGAATAAGGTCTTATATTTTGGGCGAAACGAAGGCGCATACTCAGAGAGAGTATTGCATCATTAATTGTCTTACTGGCAATTATACTAAAACAAATTGCATTATAAGAAACAGTAATAAAGCAATTATAAAATAAAATAGAACGGACAGTTGGAAATTATGAAATATATTTGCTAGATGGGCTTGGCGGTGTCAAAAAGCACAATAAGGAACCAAGAAAAAAAAGTCAAAGAATGGGTAAGAAACCAGCACGAGAAATATTGGCACTTAATGACTGGATGCAAATATAGGAAAGAATTTATCTTCGGGCCATTTTTGTTACGCCGAAGCAGCCACTTAGGCAGAAGCATAAATGCCAAGCAAGGCTTCTATGAGGATCCAAAGAAACTTTTTAATCTGATTTTTGAACTGCCTAAGGTTAGTAGAACTGGGAAGAACTTCCTCCTGTAGACGGTTCTACTATCTAGATACACTCAGGACAAAGGAGCGGTCGTATCGGCCAGTTCCAGATGTACGAAGTTCGACACGGTTAGGATGGGAGCTCGCAGGTTGTCCGGCAGGCACATTGCGCGACGACATCATGGAGGAGAGCTCTGAGGAGCAAAGCCCGTTGGTGTAGCAGTAGAAGAGAGCTAGATCGCCGATGTCCCGCCGGTACGAAAGGGACCCAAGACTGTCTGTTAGAGAAGAATCATCAATCAGTCGGACAGCCCTGCTCTGGACAGCATCGAGCATGAATAATGTAGTCGGGGCGGCAGCAACTGCTCTCAATGAGTAGAAACCGACTCCGTGTAGTTACATGCCTTCATAAATGGCCTGAAAGAACGCCTGCGTAAGTAGGGATTCATGATGGAGACCTCAACTACAGTTAAAGCGGGAAATAAACAGCATCAGCTTTATACGTCTTATATGAGAGCGACGGGTTGGATCACAAAGACATCAGGGAACCAAACTTAGAAGCGAGGAGGTTTGAAACAATGCTGACAGGGAAACTATACCTACAATACTAGCCTGCTGGATTGGGTACGGTAATTCGAGGGGCAAGGTACAATAAGCCCAAAGGCTGCAGTGTCATTGGGATTTTTTTCGAACCGGAGTTCTTTTTCAACAGTGATACTGAACGAAAGCTTGCCCAACGGTATGATTTCAATATAATATGGTATAATTCGGTTCGAGCAAGTTTTTTTCTCAGAAACAGGTATATAACAGCATTAAAGATACCGTTGTTCGATAAGCACATTAGTAACCTATCTCAAAAAACGTATGCCAACTTGAGGCTAATTTATTCTAATAGATACATCGTAAGCTATAAGACCAGAAAAAAGTTAACTGAAAGCTTGATTATATTCTATCCACACTATTCGTTAATAAATTTTATCCTTACTTAGATTAGTCGGATCGATATGAAAGGCAGAATTCAAAACAACTGTTACAGATTCGTGTTTGGCCCTCGTATATCCAGTCATGTTTCTTCGAAGATTAAATAATTACGCTGATTGAGAATAGAACCACAGTCTGTCTATACTTTGAATATGTTCATCCATAGACTTGTGCGTACACAAAAACCAACATACCTCTAGGATACATTTTTACCAACAGGTCATATTAATCAGGAAATGCTCAGTCATAACATCCACGATGCCAATTTACTATTTCAAAAGAGTTTTACCTTCCACACGGTTAGGTTATACGAGTACAACTCCACAAATCGGAATTTCTGGAATAAAAAGAAGTTGATTAGGCTTAGGAAATTGCTGTTTATTTTTTATGAATTTGATTTAATATTATTAGAATGTTCTGGAGATTTTTCCTTTTTGACTGCCCTCCATGTAGATCATTTTGTTTTTCCTTAAATAGTGTATTTCGAGATTATTGTTGATATTTTATTTGTATCTTTTTCTTGCCCTTTTTCTGTATACTTTGTCTTTATTACTTTGTGTGTAAAAGTAGCCCTATAGCTAAACTTTGCCTCTCTGATGTGCTTTATTATTATTATTATTGTTATTATTATCCTGGGTGTTCACAGCTTACGCTGGTAATATCTGGGCCACCTCGAATGATGTTTATAGAGTGTGGCTCTGGGTGGTTGGGTATGAAACATCATGACCCTATATCGATAAAAACTTGTAATCCGACAAGTGTCGAGAATCACTGCCTTCTGCATTTGTACGCATGTACCCTTTGGAAGGTTCAAGACCTTCAAATTCTCCGACAAAGCGTTCGTGGCAACTCCTTCTACTGATATGACGATGGGAATAATCATTATTTCTTTTAACTTCTACATCCGTGCTAATTCTATTTTGAGGTTTTGATATTTGGAGCATTTTTCAGTTTCCACGGACTTTAGGTTATGCCTAAGTCAAACTGCAATATCGATCATTATCATTATCGTTATCGTTATCGTTATCGTTATCGTTATCGCTATCGCTATCTTTTTCGTTATCGTTATCGTTATCGTTATCGCTATCGTTATCGTTATTATTAGTT